AGAGAGAGAGAGAGAGAGTAGAGAGAGAGAGAGAGAGAGAGAGAGAGAGAGAGAGAGAGAGAGAGAGGGGGGAGTGCAGAACGGCGGAGAGGGAGCGGTAAGCACGGCGCTCGATACGAGCACGCGCGCAAATCGACTCGATCGGCCGCTTCCGATCGCCTCGGCGCACCGGCCGGCCCGGAAGAGGACTGTGACCTTGCAGCCCGACCTTGGAAATTGGCGCCACTGTCGATCGCGACATCTCGTTCCGTTTTATCGAGAGCGTGGCTCGCGCTCGCCGAGAATATTTGCGACCACTCGCCGGCTCCCGCCGGACACGTGAGCGTTCGGGGCAGAAAGAGGGAGCACGCGCAATCACGGTTGCTAATCGAAGAGGTTTCGTCACGTTTCCTTTGTTTGCGACGACGTGGAGGGACGACTGCCAGTGATCGAACCACCTGTCACACCGACGGAATGATTCAACATGTCGCTTAGGTGAGTAACAAAAGAACGAGCAAATGATTTTGCGCGCGAGGCCGCCCAGCTGTGGGTGGTAATTGGCGGGAGGGTGAATTAAAGGGGGTAAACGAGGGGCGAACGAGAGCCACAGGTAGGCCGCGCTTGGCTGAGAGAGGCGGAAACACCACTTTGTGATCTCCGGCTTCTACCCTTTGACGCTCCGTGACTCGAGGGTCCGAGTTGAAAGGGCGAGAGGGTTTGGTCAATGCCTGAGAGAACATATGTGTATGCGTTGGTTGATGCCGGTGTTTCAATTGATTGAAAAATTGGCGGAAGTTTTCTCTGAATCAATCCAATATGTAGGAATAATAAAAACGCCGCTCTCGTAAAAACATATAAAACACATGGCGTCTGACTAGTTGCATAATCTTGCTACTTGGCCTATATTTTTGTCCTAATTTGCGTGTTTCAAACGACTCGAAATGAAACTATTTATTTTTATGAATTTGTAATACTTATATTATTTTAATAATTAACAATCTATATTTCGTGTAATTGATATCATTGTGAGATATTCATCTATTTTTAAATCGTGAATTACTTTGATTTCTTCGCGACTGGATTTTTACGGATAAGTTTATATCGCGCAGAAAGACAATGTTACGTTCATCATACAGTTATGGACACTACAAAACAGATTTTACTGCGCTTTTATTGCCCGTAATCCGCTCGCTGCACACCTGCGCTCGCGACACGTATCTACATGTGGAACACTCGCGAGGATATGTCGCGTTTTGAAAATCCGTCCCGATCACGAGCGTATACGAGACACGGAGAGATGAACAAATCCTCTTTCACCGCTCGCTGGGAGAACAGAATCACTGCCGCACAGAGATTGTTGCGTAGGACCTGTTACATTCAACGTAATCCTTAATTCGACGATTTATTACTGCCTTGCACCGAGAGTGCACGCGAAAATCGAATTTATTTCCGTATTTTCCTGCCCAACTCTTTCGTTTGTACAAATTCACCGGATAAATTGCACGTTGTTTCCTGTCGCTGTCCACAAACGTGTGTTATACATAATTACACAAAATCGTACAGTTATACATTATAAACAATTTCGTGCCAGTCAATTTTTCAGCCGGAGCTTCAGACAGACGAGAGGAAAAGATTTTGCTGTTAATGCACATACATAAATAATAGATATTAGTCATAGAGATTAGTAATCATTAGTTATAAGAATCAAGTATTCTTGTAAAGATTGCGCGGCAATGCAAATCTCGACTCGCGAGAAATAATTTCGACGCGTTATCCGTCACACCGCGAGAACGCGTAAATCTTCTTAAGACCGCTCGGGAATAGAATTCATCCAAGCGCATTCTCGCGCTCTCATGACGGGCATCCACGTGTGATAATTAGATGTAGGTATTTTCACCAGCTTCCGATGGCTCGTAGTAGGCGCAGGCGGAATGCCGCTTGCACATCGTCGTTCTCCAAATCGTACGACCATTATTTACGATGGTAACGAAGCTGCAGCTGCGCCAACGACAGACATCTTCGGAGCGGGAAACCGCTCGACGTCACGTCGCATTGTCACCCGTAAAATTTCGGAACGCTTGCAGCGAGCGAGCCCGGGCTTCTCATTTAGCAGCAGTAAATTCCAAACGTCCGGCGAGCGTGCGCGGAAAATATTTCGCGAGACGCCGGTTTCGCGGGAATTGCCAAGAACGCGAATGGCAGAAATTTGCCTTTTCGATACTTCAGTTTCCCACTAGATAATCTAGGATTAGATACTCTAATGTAATTTAAAGTTTTAATGGAATCGTATATCCATAACACTATGGAACTGCAACTCTGTGAAATCACGTCTTTGTAATTATATTCCAACGTTATAATAACAAACTTATAATTTTATAATCTTCGCGGCATCGCGAATTATGCCAGCAAAATTCCCATCGAAAAAATTTGATTATTGTACAATCACCACGGCATTATTTCATTTTAGATGATAAATAGATTTGGATCTTAAATTTAGTCGCGAATTATAAATCGTTTTATCATCGCTTGAATTAATTTGTAAATTAATGAATTGACATCTCGCGATATTTCTTAAGTGGTTGTTTGTTTAACATTAAATCAGATTTGGATCTTAAATTTAGTCGTGAATTATAAATCGTTTTATCATCGCTGGGATTAATATATATTTTGAAAATTAATAATTAACATTTCGCGATATTTCTGGACGTTCTTAAGTAATTGCTTGCTAAATATATTGGATCAGATTTTCGATTAGCATAATTTACCGAGATGCTCTTTTCGGTGCGCGCAGTCTAGTCGTTCTTCGATGAAAAAAAGAGAAAGAAAGATTTGCCGTCACACAGGCACATATACACATTTACCTGCCATGTGTTAATCCTCGTGGAGTATGTTTACGAGTGACCGGATCGTGTCGGTGTCACATTCGGCGCACGTATGGCGCGCGGTTTAACACAATCCAACCGCCGCCATACACGTGGACTTTCGTAAACGACACGTGGAACTTTGCGCTACTCAATTTCGGTGTTGTTTTAACACCAGAAAATACCGGGCAGAATTTTCACGTCGTAAGCCTTGCAATCTTCGAGAAAAGTTGCCAAAATGCTCGATGTATGCGACGAAATTTATTAATAAAATACTATCTGTATAAATTCGTATCAGATGCTCTTTTAAATTTCTCCCTCTTCTCACTATTTCCCTTTGTTACAATTTAATGATGTTTAATGGCCGTTGAAATTGATAATAGCGTACATGATTAATTAATTAGCGCTGGTAACGTTAATGTAGCTAATAATATATTGAAGCTACAATGGCTTTTATGGATATACATTGTAAATAATATATGTGAATTTTCAGTATAAATCTGAATAACGATACATATTTTTTTCATGTAATTTGGTGAAGCGCAATAAACTCAATAACATAGACTACATCATTCATCAGTCATTAAACAGCATCTCTGATTTTTGGTAATTTTTGCATTTTGATCCTGAATATGAGATTTTAATACTGCACTTGACAATCTCATGCTAGTCGAAATTTAAAATTTCAGAAAGAAATTTAAACAATGTAAAAATTTTATTTTTGCACATTACGCGAATACATCATAAATACTGAAAAAGTTAAATGCATTTGTATGCAATGGAAGAATGGTCGACCATATTCAGACCATATTCGACCATGTTCGTAAATCTTTCTCAGAATTCGCCTCTTAACGAGAATAGCTTCCAATGAAATGCAGATTGTGAATAAGGTCTACTGCATGATGAATTTAGAAATAACGTCATTTCCCATCATTTGGGATCGGAATTACCTTGAAAGTCTGCGATATCCGTCCATGAGCTCGAACGTAGAAATTAATATTTGCTTCGTCGTATATCGCCACGTTTCTCTTCGTGAAAGAAGAGAGGTGCCGCCTGTATTTCGCGCGATAAGCAACAAATTACTTTTCCTTGACGATGCGAATCCGTTGGGTTGAGAAAGAGAGACACGAGGCGAAATAAACGTCGAGTGCAAAATGGGCAGAGAAACAAACGTGATGCGAGGTCAAAAGGCATCTCGAAAGGCATGTCTGCTTGTACCACGGAGAATGTTGCTTTCGTCCTAACGTCGATACGTGGAGAATCACTTCACGAAAAACACAAGTTGTAGCACAAAGAGCTATTCATTTTTCGCTTTCGAATAAGTTCTGAATGTATTGTATAATACAAAATAAGAAATAAGCGCTTTTCATATATAATTATTTCAAAACTGTAAAAGTGCTTCTTTAAAAAATTCATTCTTTTTAATAAATTTTAATTTATACACATTTTATAATCATAAAATATTTTTAACAAAACATTTCCGTTCGCAACTTTTGTTTTGTGTGACGCAAAGTGTGTAGCAAAAACGCACGAAATCAATTCGTTCTATGCGGGTGGGAAATTTATGGCAGAGTGGTTCTTACATGGAGATTCGAATATCGTTCGCAGTCGAAGATTGATCTTGCGCAGTGTCGCGAGGAACGATAAAGCGCCGCTGATTTCCGTAGCGAGAAACGAGTCTCGCGGCAAAGATTTGTTACTAATGGAATTGCGCCCGTGCATGAGAGGTTCTACGTGGGTGTTTAGATTAAGCAATTCAGATGAAAGTACCTGGCGAAGCGCGTGTACATGTTGTCGCTACTATAAATTGCGAAAAATAATGTCCCCCACGTAATTCGCAGCGTTCGCGCTAAGGAATCTCCCTTCTCATTAAATCCTGCTATTTTCAGAAGACGAAAAAGTTTTTCTATGGTTTAATTCTGTGCGACTTCCCGGAATATGCGCGAAAATACCTTCTACCGTTTACAAGCGCAATCGCGTTTTATTGTTCCACAAATGACTTCTTTACAGTTAATAGTCATATAAGTTTTTTCTTCTACGAAAAATAGTAGCTGTTTATTCAGAGCAATGGTGGGAAATATTAGCATTAAAAACATGATATCGTCCAGTGTGCTTACGAATTGCGGTCCTTAACAAAGAATAAACTCCGGATTTATAGGAAATATTGTTATTGCTCGCCATAACTCTGGCTCCTGCGCGAGTATCGTTTTTATTCGAATACGGTGATTAATATTGAAGCAAAAATAATGACACCTGTTCTTTTGATGAAATAAATGTTAAGTGCCTTCAAATTTTTGTCGCTTGGAGCAGATGTATATTTATTACAAAGCAAACTGATGACTAAAGAAAACGACTTGCAATAAATCATATAAATTTCTAAATGTCATTAAAAACCGATAAATGTCATTCCGTCATAAAAATATAGTGTCTTTACAATCTTAAGATATTTGAGAAGCAAATAATTTAGTAAAAAAGCAAATCGATAATCCAAGATAATTTCAGTATTCAAGTTTTATCAAATAACTACTTTGCTTTAAACTGAAATTGCTGCTAATAAATTATCTAATTCAGCTTCTTTAACCCGCTTTTTTGTAATAATCGATAAAATTTAAAAAAATGTTAAATAAGCGTATT